CGTCCTCCGGGCTGAAGGACGTGTCCCAGTTGTCCCTTTGGTACTTGCCCCCGAGGATGGTGGTGAATCCGATGGCATTAGACCACGGGCGGGGGATGATGTACGTCGCGTCGGCACTGTCTCCGGCCCCGAGCTCTGTGCAGAGGAACTCGTTCAACTTCGGGTTTTCGACGACGATCGTCTGGCCGCGGATGGGGTATACGTCTTTGTCTTCGAGTCCGATGAGGGACCTCGCACCTGCGGGTCAGGCTGGCGAGTTAGCCTTCATGAAGAAGGGGCAGAGGTCAGTTGAGAGCACGCACCAAGGCCAGTGGCGTTGATCAGCACGCCGTTGGCACCGGCAAGAGCTGCAGCCTCTCCGTAGGAGGCGACCTTCTTGCGGGCGAACTCTACACCGCGCGATGCGAGCACCTTCGTGATCCATGGGAGGTAGCTCACGGGACAGACGGAGACGGTCTGGAAGCCCACGCCGCGCTTGAAGCCCGCAGGAAGCTCGTTTTCGCCCAACACTCTGAACTGCGAGCGAGGTGAGCGACATTGACACTTCCGAACATGGGAAACTGAAAAGACGATAGCTCACCTCCCGGACAAGGTCCTTGTACCACATGGCGTTCAGGTCCTTTCGTTCGTCGTAGAAGACCCTCGACGGGGAAGCCTGTCAGATAAGAATTGGGTTATAAAAGCTCGTCGCATTCATGCCGAGCCGCGATCGAGGCCGATGCTCACGATGGCGAGTCCACTGGAGATCATGTCCCAAAACTTGTCGCTGCAGTCGAATGCCTGCATGTCAATATGCCTTCCATTGCAGCGGCGTATGGTCGCACTCACAAGGTCGTCTTCTCCCATCGGTACGTCCGTTCGTTGTATTCTCCCATAGGGGACCAATTCGCGCCCTGCAAGTGCAGCTCAGCTCCAGAACCGTGCACATCGCGGCCATGCATTGCTCCGACGGGAGACGCAGCAAACCTGCTTCCGCACTAGTACGGAGAGATATGATGCTTCTCCCGGCCGGAACAACGCACAGTATGAAGCCTTCAGGCTTCAACTTCATGAGAAGACGCACCGCCCATGGGGATGCAAACCCCTGCGAATCGAGGTCTTCTGGCAGGTCCCTTGCCACAACCTTAACCTTGTACTTTGGGTTCTCGGAGAGTACATGAGCGACCGTCAGTCCGATGACACCCGCGCCGAGCACGACGACTTGTGTCTTTCCTGCTTCCGAGGACATCTTCAGGAGGAGCTGTGTGGGCGGATATAGACGGATATGCCTCTTGCGCAGCGATTCGACCGGCCTGCAGACAGTGGTCTAAAGTACAAGTTGGCGACATGAGCTTGGCGAAGGAGCGGGTTTATATGTATCCTCGAGTCAGGTCAGACATCGGGTGCTGAGCTGGGTCTAGAAGTGTTACTATCGATCGGCCCGACGCCTCCCCGTTCCACCGATCGTGCTCTTTGAGGACGCGGATACTTAGCGTCAAGCAAGTACGCGACCTTGGAGGTTATATCTCATCTCCTGAGTGCACTACATACATACCTATCACGACGAGCACAAGCTGAGGTGTAGGGTGTAAGCTCATGTGAAATTCAGAAAGGGTTGGACAGCACTGATAACCGCTCCCGTAAGCCGCTGTGGCAATTCCGGGCGGCAGGGACCTGCAGGCACGCTCATCAGGACTCTAGTCACGCGGAGGCGGTAAGAGAACACCAGCGGATGAGGCTGCTTCGCCGGTCTGTCACTCTTCTGGCATGCACTGCAGGGAAGACAGAGCCAAATGCGTTCGCCTCTCGTCCAACAAGAACGTTTCTCGATGCCCCAACACAATTGCGGCGTCTTAGCACACATGGACCTCGTACTGCGGCCGGAGCGCGCGCGAAGTTACCCCATTCCATAGTACACCCCATCTGTCGAGTACCCGAAGCCACGATGGCCAGCGAAGATCAGGACCCGCGGTGTCTGTGGGATAAAAGCAGATAGCAGTCTTCGCGAACACACCCTCTCCCTGTGTTCCACGCCCACGCACCACACCCTGGTCTGTTGCCTCCAACTGTCCAGCTTCCTCGCGCCTGCACCCGCACCACCTGCACTGACATGCCGCGCGACGCGAGTCCACCTGAGCTGTCTTCTCTTGAGCGCACCGCACTCTGGGTACAGACACAGGCCGCATTCTCCTTCCAGGCTTCTCCTTCGTCTCCCGCTCGGTCGTCACAGACCACATCCTCGTACCGCACGACCATGTCGTCCGACAGAGTGTCCCTGAAACCATCTCTGGCGCGTTCGTCTTCCATGCAGCAGTCCACGCACACACGACCCCCGAGCGCCAAGACTACCCAACGCCCGCGCTATGACTCCCGCTCACGGAGGTCGAGCCTACCGTTCCCGCAGAGCCCGCCTGGCTCCGGATATCCCATGCCACTGGAAGTGGCTTCGCCGCGTTCAGAGAGCGAGGACAGGAAGGCGAGTAAACTCTCGAAGCTTGCGCCGCCGTTCGATGCGAAGAGTTGCCCACAGTCTTCGACGCCGCGGCCGTCCTTGAGGAAGCAGAGGCGACCCTCGCTCGTCGAGCAGATCATCTCCATCGGGTCACCCGGTCAGCGACGACGAGAAGAGCCTGGGAAGAAGACGTAGACGGGGCACCAGCTGAGCGGTCTTTGCCAATGCCACTGCCACTGCCAGGCGCGGAGGGCGTAGGGCGAGTGCTTTCCACGACGATTGAGGTGGACCCTGCCGCAGTTACGCAGCGTTGTGAAGACATGGACAGTCCGTATGTATGATTCGAGAAGTGGACCACCTTGTACGAATATCTGCAGTGTAGGTTACAGTAGCGCCTTCCGCATGGCATCCATGCAAATGTGATCACTGATCATGCTCACCGAGATTCGGATACGTCGTCAGGTCGCATGGCAGGTCCTGGGTGCAGACTCGCAAGCTCATAGAGCTGCGGGTTAAAGAGGAGGAACGAAGCGGCTGACATGTCAGGAAATTTGAAGTCAAAGAGCATCGCACAATAACTGCTCTTCGGTCAGCTTCGGCGCCTGTCGCTTGATTCCTTTCATCCAACATGTCTCGCATGCATTGGTATATGCGACGCGTCGAGCTAGTCGTGCGCGTATGGAGCAGCCTCGCTTTATAGCGAGTTGGGGTGAGACGAGTACTCATATCGGAAGCATCTGCTGACACAGGCTGACACGCCTTGCAGGCATCCTCGTGGCAATCGCATTGGAAGGATATGAGGGTCTCCTCGTCTCCCACTGCCGCTTTGTGCAAGGAATACCAGCCGCTGACATGTGTCTACACACTGCATCTATACAAAGCTGAGCAGAGGTCAGTGCTGGACCAAGTGGACATGACCTAACACCGAAGTTTACTCCAGTTCTGCAGCGCCACTTCTAGGGTACTTTTTGGCGTAGTCGGAGCTCGGGTTGTCCGGGGCACTGTGCTATCTATTGAGCTGTAACAAGGATCTCCAAGCCGAGTCCTCCGTTCTCCCGCATCATTGAAATCGCGTGTCCATTCAGCGGACAGTCTATCTACCAAGATGAATCTGCTTGGACCAAGGCTGGCTGTCTTTACGCTTCCGAGGTCAAAGCGACACCGACCGGTACCAACGTGCCGGGCACAAGGCGACCACACCCGACCATCCGTATAAAACGCGCGATGCGAGCATGTTGTAAAGCTCGACGCTCCGTCCACTCACACCCATTGCGACACCGCTATCTTCCTTCTGTACCCCCACCACCACCTCCCTTCAATTTACGGCCAATCTGGTATTGGTCCAACATTATTTTCTCATCCCCAACCACCCACCTATCGAGATGGCTCCTCAGGTCCGCTTCAACGCCTTCGGCATCCCCTACCTCGTTGAGTTCGCCAATGTGTCATTCCGATCGCGCTCCCGCTCCGGGTCCACCTCCACCACCGACCTCTCCTCGGATACCCAAACTCTGAGCTCCAGCTTGCACAAGCCGACGTTCGAGCGCCGGCCCTCACGTCTGCGCCCCTCTCGGAGCATAGCAACGTTTGACTCCGACTGGACCTTTGCCACCGCATCCTCTGAGACACTCGCTGGTCCGAGCGTCCGCAAGGAGTCACCCTCCCCCACATCGCTGGCAAAGTCCAAACCACTCCCCGATATCACGATCGAAAGCGAGATTGAGACAGGCGGACAAGGACTCCTCATCCGTTTCGCATCTCAGCTCCCGCACTCCCCTCGGAAGCTGTCGCACAACCGGCTCGCCCGGCTCAAGTACAGGATTGCGAAGGCGGTCATGGCTGCGGGAATGGACTCCTCTCCGGCCATCGAGTGCGCTGACCCGATGGATACTCGAGCGGAGGCTGCGAAGGAGGCGTACCGCGCGTCCGTGTGCAGCATCCGGTCCGAGGAGGTTGAGACGCGAGGCATGCCAGCCTCACTGTTCCGCGGGACATACGGGCAGGTCATGACTGCGCTCAAGGCGGCTGGTCTGGTCATGACCCCGTGCAGCGAGTCTGGTGTGGAAGACGGTGAGTGTTCCACCGTGCTGTCCTCTGTGTTGCACTTAGCTGACGAATCGTGTGACTCCTGCAGCTACACGGCTCGGTGCGCTGTTTGTCGCCCACCAGAACCCGTATGGTGGCGTCGAGTTCACGAAGCTCACGTTGTGGGCGTAGGCCGGCTGGACATGGTGCGTTATATCCAAATGCTCCGTATAAGCTGGTGAATTGGGCTCAACACTCCATGGGCAGGCCTTCATGACTATTTACGCATAAATTATCAAACTTGTCGTCGTTCAACGTCCTGCCCTAGTGGTCAGGCCCGGTAAGTATACCCAGTGGCATGATATTTCGGCAATGACCTATGGCACCCACGCTCGTTATGTATAAGTACATAGAACTTCTGTGATTGATGTACTGTGCCGTTGAAGTGGTTTGTAACAGTAGGATGATTGAGCTTGGATTGAGCAACCATGATGCGTGGGTAAGTGGGCACCGATTCTAATTGTCACGGCACATTTTTTGGCATGAACCCTTGGCACAGTGGTAGCGCGTGAGATTCCAGCTGGGAAATCCTCAAGGTCGTCCGTTCAATCCGGGCAGGGTTCAATTTTTTCACCACCTCAATTGGTACAGTCGAGCTCTTTAACGCCCGGGTGGCACATCTCCTTGACCCAACCACAATTCGTACTGGCGATAATGGCCCAGTCCTCTGCGAAGCGGCCTAGGACCGAAGAAAGTAATGGCGACAATGCAGACCTCCAGCGAGACGGGAGCTTTTGGTTTGAAGACGGGAACATCGTCGTAGTGGCGCAGCAAACGGGCTTCCGCGTTCACAAGGGAGTCTTGTCGCGTCATTCCGATACCTTCAGCGGGCTGTTTACCGTCCCACAACCATCCGAAGGGGCGGAACAGATCGATGGTTGTCCAGTAGTCCGCATATCGGACTCTGCGCACGATTTCGACCACCTTCTTCGCGTGTTGTACGACGGCTTGAAGTTGTACGTGCATATACAGATCATCTGCAGGTGCCAGCTAAGTGGACTCCCTTTGACATTCTTCAGCTTTTCAGAACCAGGAAACCGACTGAGCTTCGACTGTCTCTCCGCGCTTGCGCGTCTAGGGCACAAGTACGAGCTCCCACAAGTCCTTTCAGCGTCCGTCGACCGGCTGAAGGCTGTCTTCACTACCGACTTCGCTGTATGGAAGCAGCACAAGTTCCTTCGGCCCCTTTGCACCCCCACGTATGAATTGCCCATCATCTTGTACCCCAAGAACTGCGTCGAAGCGATCAGTCTTTTCCGGACGCTCGGACATCCGGAGATGCTGCCCATCGCATTCTACCTATGTGTAGCTGCTGTGCCTCTCTCCATGCTCTTGAGAGGTGTACAGCGCGCCGATGGGACATTGGAAACTCTGGCCGTCGACGATCTTGAGCGATTCTTGATGGCCAGAGACCGTCTCACGAAGGAAGGGAACCGCTACGCTTATGCTCTTCACGGCCTCGAGCTTTCTCCATCATGCCGAAACGCCCCACGGTGCATGGCTTATTTCGCAGCCCGTCGAAACAAGGTTGTATCGAAGAACTTCGAGGGGTGGACCGTCGGCAACGTGCTTCACATCATGCTCCGCGCGTCCCTCGAGAGTGCCCTGACGTCGGGCGCTCTATGTGCGGACTGCGTCGATGCGATACTGGCACGCCAACTGCAGATACAGCAAGACATGTGGCTGAAGCTACCGGAGATCTGCAACTTGGATGTGGAAGAATGGCCGGTTGCTCCATGAGGTGGGTATGTGTTTTGTTTACCGATCTGTGGTAGGGCATGCAGCTGCTTCGGCGATGCTTCATGACGAATTCATGGACAAAGAACTAACATTATATTGCTTTGCTTCTGCCAGGGTTGGACATAGCTGGTCGGAAGTCCTTCACGATTACTTGTACAAACCCTGCTCACTTGGAGAATTACCATGACGAACCTGTCTGATGCGAATGCGAGCCCCGAGTTGCATTGAGCATCTCTCGGCTGGTACCCACAGTAAATGATCTGACTCGAGTCCCAGCTACACACAATGCTTATTGAGATGGAACCGTGCGCGGCCATTCTGTTACAACATCTGTCAACTTCAGAGCCTTCGGTAGAGCATCCCATTGCGCTTCAGCGAGTCTCCTTATCTCGTCGGAGACCCGATCGACGCAAGCTCCGCAAAGGCATTCCTCATCAAGTCCACTCTGCACAATTTCTTCGTGGTACTTGACGATAAGGAACACGTTCAGGAGCAATCGCGAAGACATCGTCAATGGGTACTCCCGTGTGGCAGTGATTGACCGCTTGCAAAGGTCCCAGCTCGTACAGTCCGGGGGTGGTTCCTCGACGAAAATGCGGGGCTGCCAGGGTTGACTCCAGAAGTGCGCACCCCTGGTCTTGTACACGTTCCGGGCCTCGAGACACCTCCCTAGGTCTTCCCTGGACAACTGCTCCAGCGTACCATCGGCGCGCCTCTCACCATCGAGGAGGGCCGCTATCGGCCGTAGGGTGCAGTGATAGAGCGCGGTCGGGAGCAAGTTGTTCTGTCCCGTAGTGCGGAACAGGTTGACAGCTTCGATGGGGGAGATCCCTATACTCCGGTTGCAGGAGGACCTGGCCCAGAACCCCCGCCAGACTTTGTAGTCGTCCGTGAAAGTGGCTCTGAGCCGCTGCAACGCCGCGGAAAACACAGCACTGAGTTCGTACTTGTGTCCCAGGCGGGCGAGCGATGCGTACATGCTGTTCCTCTCCAGTTCGGGAACAGAATCCATGTATCTGAGAAGAGACATAACCATGTAAGTCTCTGTTTGGCGGAAGGATGTTATGCCGCGCCAGCACATACCCCAAACCGTCGTACAACGCGTGCAGTAGCTGCTTGAAGTCGTGCGATGAGTCGGTGACTCGGATGACAGGACACCCTTCGACCATCTCGTCGGACGTCCCATCGACGGGCCGAGGGAGGGTGAAGAGCCCACTGAAGGTCTCGGAGTGGCGGGATAGGACGCCTCGATGGACCCGGTACGCGGTCTGCTGCGCGACGACGACGACATTCCCGTCTTCGAACCAGAAATTGGTGTCTCGTTGTAGTTCGGAGTTCTCGTGGGGGGTGTCGTCGGTCCTAGGACGTTTTGCATTCCGTTGCCTCGGAGACGACATGATCGCAAACGGTGGTCGTGGATATAACACTCCAGCACCGCCACGCCCGTGCTTGATGTTCAATTGCAAGTCGAACTGTTCTTGGACACCTACTGGACGTGCTCCTAGCATGGCGGCCTCATTGACATCCGATTTACCTTACCAACTCCATACATACACTCCAAATCAGACACGAGAGTTGGGTGATACATACTGATAATGGGTGAGCGAGACGTACGTACATGAGTAAATAACACAAGGCAGATGATGTCGATGGGATGCGTGCAATGCGAGAAGATCATGATGAGCAAATGATGAGTTCTGGAAGGTGACGAAAGGGCCATTATATACTGAATGGGCGTATCTGTACAGGTCGGTTTGACTGTAGCAAACGGAACAGGATAGGTCACAGCACGACATCGTGAAAGGGTGGCGTATCGCAAGGGCACAGACGATGGAAGCTTTGGTGACGCATACGAGAAGACGAAGATGGATAGCGGCGCGCACGGATCGGGCGCGTGTGCTATGGTACTCGGGTGTGGACGGAATGGTACACGGCGCGGCGCGCGGCGCACAATACGTGTATGTGTAGAAAAGTGTCCGCGGCGTATCTGAAATGTGCGTTACATACATACGATCTAATCTGCAGCAGACAATCAGAGGGCTTGTGAGGTGCACCAAATGAGGAAGACGTACAGCAAGCGCATGGTTTTGATGGCTAGTGCACAACGGTGCCGTGGGAGAAGCTCAGCAATAACAACGCGTCCTCCATCTTCACGCCGCTGCTGAGGACGGCCGGTGTGGGCAAGGCCTTCTTCTCGTTCCCATACCGTGCGTATTCTAAAGGATACCGCTGTATAGATGCCTTGGTCTCACGCGCATGCGGGTGGTGTGCCAGGGGGAGGGCAAGGCTAGATGTCGACGCAACAGCCGAAGGCGGGGGCGACGACTGGGGAGAGGGTGTCACAGCTTCAGGGTAATCCTCGTCGCTGCAGACGTCAGACTGTGAACGAGCGAGCGGGACGCGCGTGTACAACGGCTGTGGTTGTCGAACCGTCTCCTCCGTCTCGATCTTGACGAATTCGATACCGGGAGTCGACGATGAGCTAGGGGTAGCCGTCCGCGTGAAGCTAGCTTGCGTGCTTGAATCGTCGTCGGCGATGTCCATGGCATCGGTGTCGTCGTCCATATCATCACCGCTTACGCTCCCGCTCTGACGGGAACGCTTCCTGTCGGACTGGCGAAGATTGCGGAACCAGTTCGTCACTTTGCCCAAGTCCATCCCAATCTCCGCAGCGAGACGCTGGCGGTCTTCAATCGAGGGCGTCTTAGTGCGGTTGAAAAGCTTCTTGAGCGCATCGAGCTGCCAGGGCTCTGGGCGCGTGCGACGCGGTCGGCGGTGCGTGGCATCGAGAGCGCGCTCAGCGGGATGGACTGGATACGGGGAGGCGCGGGGAGATGAAGGCAGGCTGCTACCACTGAGCGCGACACTAGGTGAACGATGGGCACGAGGAGGGTGGAGGAGCGCTGCTAATGACGGATGGGATGTCGGTGGCGGGACTGCGAGCGATGGGTGGAGGGCGCTGGAGGACGGCGGGATGGCTAACGGCGAGAAGGCGCGGGACTGGGGTGCGGTGGCGGCCCTCGCAGCAGCAGCCTCTTCACGCTTCTTGGCGATGCTGCGCTGGTTCTGAAACCAGTTCGTTACACTCTGATAGCGCCTGGATAGCAGTGTTGTGTGATTAGGTGAGCGTGATTTGTCCGACGCGGAAGACGGAAGCGACGTCAGAGGAAGCGCCCAGGAAGGAAAGGAAAACAAGGAAGATCAGATTTCAAATTGCTATAAGTGGAATCGTATGACAACAGGACAGCACTTACATTCCGATCTTGACCCCGAGTGCTTCCCGCTCTTCCTTGGTCGGATGGGGTTTGAGTTCATAGAATTTTTTCAGCTCCTCCGTCTGCTCCTGCGACGGGCGGCTCCGGGCCTTGCGCGGCATGGATGAATCAGAGTCGAAGAGGTGTTGCTGCTGGGGATCCCCGGCGTAGAAGAGCGTGTGTTGCGGTGGCGGGTGGGCGCTGGACGCAGAGTGTGCGGACAACGGCTGATAGAGCTCGTCGTCGGAGATGAGTTCGTCGTACTCGAGCTGATGCGGGGAAAGCGACGACGACGGGGGAGCAGATACGGACGCAATGAGCGCAGATATAGGCGGCAGCTCGCATTGAGTGAGGGGGGCTTTGTGTCGCTTCTTTGAGGAGGCGCGTTTATTCTGAAACCAGGAGTTGACCGTCTTTGTCTCCCTGCGTGCCGTCGGACGAGGGTGAGTGGCCATCGCCAATGGGCGGACAACGGGACGGGGCGAGAGCGGGCAAACTAACGTACATTCCAAGCCGCTCAGCTAACGCAGTCCTGTCCTCAAGTGACGGGTGCTCGGTCTTGTCGTAGAG